TATTATAACAAAAAAAGGTGTCGTTTTAAAAAAAATATTATTTCTTCTCGAATGAGAAATGAGATCGGAAAGGTTCTTCCTTTGTCCTGCTTCTTTGGATGAAAGGAGTACCGATTCGAGTACGATATTGATTTTCTCTTGGAAATTCTCTTCTGTAAACTCGGCACCATCATAGTCTTTATCATCACTGCTTTCTTCGCCTTCTACTAACCCAATCGTCCTCCGGTTAGTACATTCAATTCGTTGGACCTATGGGTTGTCCGCATTGGTAGCACTTAAGGCCCATGGGTTTGGCGTACAGATTAAGGGTCTTCGGAGGAGTTGTCTTCCCTTGTGGTCCACTGCTAGAAATAACAACTATATTTCAAACTCATTTCATTATTCTTTAATAGAATAATCCATATTTTTATATTTTATATATAGAAAAAGAAAAGGATTCTTTTCGCAAGAAGGGGATTCTTGGTATATCCATAACAGGTAGGAGCATAAACTGATGGATGCGATATTATTATCCTTTTCTTAGGGGTTATTCATCTTCCAAGTCTTCGACACACACAAAGGATCTCGGATTGTAATCCCTAATAAAAAAAATACGATTAGATCGAATAAGCCCTTCTGGAATCGATTCTTAGATCTTGTTCATTGAGATTAAGAAAAAGAACTTTATTTTCTCATTGGCCGACTTTGACCCCTGTTATTTTGAGGTCATATCTATTCAACTTCTTCCTAGTGGCTCCCTTCCATGCCTCATTTCATGGGGAACCTCAAAAGGGTAGTATATGAATATTCACCTGTTGTCTCTCACTGTGAATCAAAACCATGTTTGAATGTTCGGGAAATGTTGTTGGTGTCTACGGAGTTGTCACTCCTATTCCTTTATCGGCGGTAGGAATCGGAGTTTCGGTAGCCCCTTGATAACGGCCATAAGATGATGTAACACCCGGTTTTTTAAAGTATTTTGTGTCAACCTTAATGTTTCAATAGTAGCTTTAATTTTCATATTTTGATGAGGTTTTTGACTGGTTACATGTTGGGGGAAAAGCCTTGTGATTAGAACCAAGAAAAAGGAGAAAACTGGAAGAAATAGGGAGTTACGCAACCTACCCCGCAGCCTGAAGTCGTGCGGGTAGCCACATATGTAACTGTGATCGGAGTCCAAGTAAATGTGTGGCTTGCACCGTGACTTCAAGTCAACGGGCAAGGTCGCGCATGTGGCTAACCTGAATCGAGTTGAGTAGTAGGTTATTCGAGCTCGACTCAAGAAACTAATACCAGGTTAGTTGAGGTCGAATAACTTTTTTAAGTAAGGCTCGAGCTAGTTGCCCGTTGCTTGTTTATGGATCGAACTTGCGATCAATTACCTCGTCTATTGGCTTTGTGGTCAATGGTTTTTATATCTTGGTTGTATGATTTATGAACATATGATCATATTTTGTACAAAAAAATCTATGCTCAAATGACTCGGCTCGATTCAAAAAATTTAATTGAATTTTGAACGAATCGAGTCAAACATTGGTGCTATGAGTCTTGACTCGTTAAGTTAAACAAGTTGTATTTTGTATGCGAGATCGACTCAAACTCGAGAATTATTAAGCTCAAACTCAAGATATACGGGCTCGAACCAACCCTAATTACAAATTTATTTTAATATGAATTACAACTCATCACCGATTCACGGTTTTCATCTACATCCTATTTCGAATTTCCATCTTTTTTCCATTGATTGTTAGCTTTACAACTAGATTAGTATTAGTTTGAATTTGAATTTGTAGTTATCTTCAAGTTAGCTTCAACTATAAATAGCATTTAATTCTTTCAATGTTAATCAAGTTTTTATCAATAATATGATTCTTCTATTTGAGAGTTTTAAAAGTTTTCTCTTAGTTTTCTGACAGACTCTCTTAAAAAAGTTTAGACATTTGTCGATCATTCCGCAAACCTATGTTGCGTCAAAAAGAATTCAAAAATGTTGTTTAATTCCCTGTTTTAAAATAACTGTCTACACATTAAGTTTATAAAATATTTTTGTCAAGGTTTAGTTCTAAGTGGTATGCTTGCACAAACAAATAAGGGTTTGATTCTTGCAACCATAGTTGTGAGTTACTTTGGGGAATGGATTTCTTGTGGGAATTCGGCTCTTAAGCAAACCACATAGCAAAAAGTTATATAACTAATCTGTTTATCACATGCTGTTTTTGCGGCCGGGCGGTTGTAGCATTGGTTGACTCGAGGGTTGTCGATTGTAAACCTTTTTACGCAAATACTGATCAAACCTTATATTCATCTAAAATCAGTGAAACGTTAATTTGTTAAACAGATTTATTTTAATATGAATTACAATTTTTTATTAGTAGCCAATTGTTTGCTTCCGGTTTCAATTTATTGATTGGATTTCCATCAAATTTCAACAAGTTCCATTTTCATCCACCATTCATATTAAACAAATGATTTACATTTATTCATGGTAATAAGATGTTGGCGTTAAGGTTTGCGGCTTTGGGGATTCTCCTCGGATGTCGTCGGTTCGAGTCCTGCAATGCGACTAGGGATTTTCGCCTAGCTTTTCTCTAGGGTTATTGGGATTAGTCGAGTTGTGAAACAGTTACCCATGGTTAACAAAAATAAAAGATATAAGGCAGTGCACATCGACATTAGCATTTAGTTTTACAGAGTTCCATAACACAACAACAGTGAGCATGGGCGAGGTTAGAAATTTAGAATTTAGGGTGCGTTTGGTACGTGGAACATGGTGGAACAGGACAGGACAGGACACACTTGTCCCACGTTTGGCGTGTTTTTAAGTGGAACTAACTAGAACTAACTTGCACACACATGGGACACGGGTGTTCACCCTTTACCCCTGGAACTAAGTGGAACAGGCTTTTTTTACTAATCTACCCTCCATCGCACTCGCTCCTTCTCCTCCATGCTCAGACTACCCTCCATCGCACTCGCTCCTCCATGCTCAGACTGCCTCCATCGCACCCTCATCGTGTGTCCTTCCCCATCGGCGACGGCGACGGGAGGTTTGAATCGATTTCCTTCTCCATCGCACCCTCCTTCTCCTTCATCAGGTACACGATTTCCTTCTCCATCGCTATGTTTGAATCGATTTAGGTTTTGCTAGGTTTGAATCGATTTAGGGTTTGCTAGGTTTGAATCGATTTAGGGTTTGCTTTGCTTGAATCGATTTAGGGTTTGCTGGTTGTAATGCTTGAATCGATTTAGGGTTTGAATCGATTTATGGATCTGTTTGCTGTAAAATTGGGTTTTGATCGAAATTTGTCACTGTAAAATTGATTGAAGTTGTATAAAATCGATTTAGGGTTTGAATAATTTAATAATTGATCTGAATCGATTTAGGGTTTGCTGTAAAATTGATTGTCACAGTCGAAATTTGTCACTGTAAAATCGATTTAGGGTTTGAAATTTGTCATTGTAAAATTGGGTTTTGATCATGGTGGTTAGAATTCTAGGATTGACTCAGTAGGGGTAAATTGGTCATTTTAACCAGTTCTGTCCAGTCCTATCATGTCTTACCAAACGCTGAACAGCTGTCCTGTCCTGTCCCGTCCCGTCCCTTCCTGTCCTGTCCTGTCTGCGTACCAAACGCACCCTTAGAGGGAGTGTTGGACTGGAATTAAATTCAACAAATGCACACAAAAAAAAAAAAAAACTATAAACTACATATTGGGGCATATTTGGATTGATTTTGGTCCAAGGTTGGCTTCGTCACTAACAGTATAATTCATTCGGAAGTATGCTATAATGGTATCTCTTGATTAAGATTCTTTTGTCAATTTTATATTTTTTTTATAAAATTGGTACAGTTTTAATATAATAGTAGTTGCACATTCAAACTTCTTGGTTTAAACAAGTTTCAAGTCATATCACTAATAACATAGAATGAGGTCATAGTATAATCAAGTATTGTCGTATTGGAAAAAGAAAGAGAAATATATATATATATATATATATATATATATAATATATAATGGAAAAAGAAAGAGAAATATATATATATATATATATCTATATATATAGGGGCTGGTTCAAATATTAACCAAAACTATTGTGCAAACTATGTTAACCCGATCTTGATCGTTCATTTCTCATCAAACGGTCCTTATTAAATGAGACTATAAAAATAATCATTTAATTAATATATTAATTGAGATGCCTATGAACAACGGTTCACATGGTACTTTTGTAAAAAATCGCATGAACACGATGGACATTTATATGAACAAGGTGAATGTTCATGGACATTACATGGATATGAACACCATGAACACCGTGAACATCGGTTTACCTCATGATCAATTAGAGGGATCTTAAAAGATTTGTAACTCCCAAATAATTATTAGGGAGTTACATAAAGGTTAAATTACAAAATTTCCCTTGTATTCAATTTATAAGTTACATTTGAACATAAAGTAAAGAAAGAATGTGATTAGTTGATGTTGGTTAGTAGAGTTAACACAAAAAAATGGGTTAGTATTTAAACCACCCTCTATATATATATATATATATATATATATATATATATATATATGAGTGAATTACATACTTGGTCCCTCGTGAATGTTTCCTTTTTAGTTTTCATGCCTTGATAGGTAAAATGCATTGGTTATCCAAAAATCGTTCTTTTAGCCTGCATCATTCCCTCTCACTAACACTGTTAGATACAACTCTGTTAGCTCTAGCATATGCCCCTCATGCGAGGGGCATTTTCGTCCTGTTATTCTTTTTCTTATTTTTTTTTAAAAAATAAAATGGCAATTGATATTTCATTCAACATATATACATACAGAATAATATATCTCTATAGATTTTTAGATCGATTCTAATCTCATCAAATCGATTTTCAGATTGATCCATATCTCATCAGATGGATTTTCAAAAACCATATAAAAGTTGGGTCTAAAACTATTTATGTCAACTTCTAATCTCTCTTATCTCGATTCAATTCAAGACCACCTTCTTCTGAGATGTTTCTGATGACGAGTAGTACACCGGAGGCGATGTTAGAGGGTGCTATACAGAAAGTGAAAACGAAGGGTGGTGGTGGATGGGAATCACTCGTCGTCGGAGTGGAGGAAGTTTCGGGGCGTCAAGCGGCAGTCATGGGGAAAGTCCCCCCAACATACACACCCCAAACCTGTAAATCATGAAATTGACACCCAGATGAGGTTCTTGCTTCAATTTCCAAATCAGAGCAAGCTTACTTCGATTTCCAAATGAGGTTCTAGCTATAAGCTATAGGGTTCTCATTTGATTTTGGGGATTTGATTGTAGATCCATGATGCAGATTTTCATCACCACAACCAAACCCCTAACCATAATGGTCCATTTGAGTTCTTGATGGAATCTCTTCATTCTCCAGTGAACGAATGAGCACCTTGTCAAGCGGTGAATTTATTGGTGTTAGTTTTTCTTGAGATTTTTTGCATCCTTGAGAACCCATATACGGTTTTTAGGGTTTTTATGTTGATTTATGATTTATATATATTTTTTTATTTAGATTTGCAGTTGTGGTTTGAGTTTTTGTTGTAAACCACAATGAACCCAATGTACTTTATTATTATTTTTTTGTTTTTAATATATTTGTGTGAAGAACAATGACACATTTAGAGAATTTGTTGGGGATTTTTATATAATTTGTTCCTTTTGTGTATAGACCGAAGTTTGATTGAAATATTAATTTTTGTACGATACAAAGTTTTTGGGTTTGAATCTGATTTGGTTTTTGGGCTTGAATCTTGCTGGTGGTGGCGGTGATGGTGTTCTTGATGAGGAAGGAGGTTTGATAAGAAGATTGGTAAACTGACTAAAATACCAATCATGTGCAGGGCACGTGATTGGGTTAACGGACCCATACTAACGGAGTTAATGAGAGAGACTTATTTGGACTTCCAAACACGATATTTGAATCACTAATATACTTTCCAATTTCGAGGGACGAAAAAGAAAAAAGAGATTGACGATGGACCAAATATGTAATTGAGTTTATATTGAATAGTGGTGGTGGGGATTGGAATTTAAAAAAAGAGGCTCATCACGCCTGACGACAGACCAAAAAAAGGTGTCCAAGGAACCCGTGACCAGACTTTGGATCTTCTCATTATTGCATCTTTTTCCGTGTTCCTTCATTTTAACCCTACAATCTTCCAAAATTCTCTTACTTTTCTAATTATTCAATTTCTTATTGCACTTATAATCCAGTCACATGAAAAAACCAGGATATATATTTAAAATGTTCTATAGATTTTTCTAACATTGATTTCAGTCATAATAAATAATTTTGATAAAAGTTATTTGTAATCTTAAATTTTAAGTAATATATATCAATAAACAGTACTTCATGCATACAAAATAGTTTTTAAGAATTTTTGTCAAATACTTTATTGTAATTTATTTTAAAATTTTTAATTATGTGTTATATAAAAATCATAGAATGCTATTATTCCAATTAAACACCTCGGTAACCCTCTTCACAAGGGGAATAATGCATGTGGTGAAGTTGGTCCCACAAACACTTCTACTTGCACCATTTGTTCATTGTCTCTTCATATCCTCCCACAATTCCTTCCAACAAGTTTCCACGTTCTTTCATAATCACTTCAGCATCATCACCATGCCCTCCAAATAGTTTCTAGTGAGAGAGAGAGAGAGAGTCATGTTGATGATGGGTTTTCTTCAACTTTTCATCTTTACAGTGCTTGCTAATTCATTCGCCATTAATGCCGACCAATCTCTCAACCTAAATGATGAAGTTTTAGGTCTTATAGTTTTCAAATCTTATCTTACTGACCCATCATCTCATCTATCCTCATGGAATCAAGATGATGACACCCCGTGTTCTTGGAGGTTTATAACATGTAATCCGGCCACCGGAAGGGTCACCGGACTTTCTCTTGACGGATTAAATCTCTCCGGGAAGATCGGTAGAGGTCTCGAGAAGTTGCAGAATCTCAAGGTACTATCACTTGCTCGTAACAACTTCACCGGAAACCTTAATCCTGAACTTTCACTCCTCACCAACCTCCAACGCCTTAATCTTAGTCGAAACGGTTTTTCGGATCGAATCCCGGGTTCTTTGATGAACTCAGGCAGCATAAAGTTTCTTGATCTGTCAGAAAACTCGTTATCTGGACCAGTTACTGAGGAGCTCTTCGTCAAGTGTTTGTCTCTTAGAATGCTTTCCTTATCTGGAAATAATCTTGAAGGTCCAATTCCTAACTCACTTCTAAAATGCACATCTCTGAATCATCTGAATCTTTCCAACAATCGTTTTTCGGGTAATCCCATCAATTCGGGTCTTTGGTCGTTGACTCGGATTCGAACAATGGATCTTTCTCGTAATATGTTCTCGGGATCCTTACCTAATGGAATATTTGCTTTGCATGACCTGAAAGAGCTTTCTTTAGAAGGGAATCACTTCACAGGAGCTTTGCCTTCTGGTATTGGCTTATGTCCACATCTGAATAAGCTAGATTTAAGCAATAATCTCTTCACAGAAGCAATTCCAGAATTCCAGGCTCTTTCTTCTCTAAATTATCTGAATCTAGCCAACAACATATTAACCGGTGAATTCCCTCAATGGATTGGAAGCTTGACGAGCCTAGAATACTTGGATTTTTCCGGCAATGATTTGACCGGAACCCTACCGGAATCAATGGGAGACTTAAGATCATTGAGTTATGTAAGCCTTTCCGATAATAGATTAAGTGGGAGCATTCCGTTGTCATTAGTTTCCTCCAGCAAACTATCGGTCATTCGGCTACGAGGGAATAAGTTCAATGGTAGCATTCCCGATGGTTTGTTCGAACTGGGGTTGGACCTGGTCGACTTTTCTAGAAACGAACTCACTGGTTCCATCCCTCCGGGTTCAAGTAGGCTTTTCGAGAATCTTCAGTCACTAGATCTATCCGCAAACCGGCTCACAGGCGATATTCCGGCTGAAATAGGACTTAACTCTAGATTAAGATACTTGAACCTGTCATGGAATAATTTTGAGACAAAAATGCCCCCAGAGCTTGGGTACTTCCAGAATCTAACTGTGTTAGATCTCCGAAATGGCGCCTTTCACGGGTTCATCCCTGCCGATCTTTGCGATTCCGGCAGCCTTGGAATCCTTCAACTTGATGGAAACTCTTTCACAGGATCAATACCTGATGATATTGGAAACTGTTCATCCCTCTACTTGCTGTAAGTCTTCTTACCGGTTCAACATTTGCCGTAAAAAATTGGCTCTATAGGACACCAAATATGTATGAATGTCACAATAAATTGCTTTATAAGACTTTAGTTTATACAATCAAACAAGTGTTATCATAAGTTGATAAAAGACGTTTTTAGACGTCCTAACAAACTTTTTAGGACACTTTTTGAAATAAAGGAAAGTCAATTAGATGTTTTTTAAAAATGTCTTATAAAAACAAGTTTCCTATAAAAGATGTCTTCATAGAAAACTTTTCAAAAATGTCATGTAAGAAAACTATTATGACATCTTATTTCATAAATGTTCTAAAAAAAACGCTCAAATGTGTCCGAAAATCCTCCTCTAACACCTATCCGTCGGTCGCACGGTTTTTTGTTACTATAAACTGAAGTGCTGTAAAAAAAGTATTCTGACATTTATATTTGTTGTAGTAGTGCTTCAATATTATCAGGATTTTCTTTCAAATCTAGAGGGGTAATAGTGTAATTTCACATGTTATATATACATGTATATGTACATATGCAGGAGTGTGTCTCACAACAGCTTGAGTGGCTCCATCCCAAGATCAATGTCACTACTGAAAAAGCTCAAGATTCTGAAGCTAGAATACAACCAACTGAGTGGTGAGATACCACCGGAGCTGGGCGGACTGGAAAACCTCCTGTCTGTAAACATATCCTACAACAGGCTGCAGGGAAGACTTCCCACCGGGGGCATATTTCAAAGCTTACAACAAAGTTCTTTGGAGGGCAATTTAGGTATTTGCTCACCACTGTTGAAAGGTCCATGTAAGATGAACGTCCCAAAGCCTCTAGTTCTTGATCCATTCGCATACGGGAATGAAAACGGAAGACACCAAGGAGGACGAGGTGGAGAAGGAGCTGACCAATCTTCTAGAAGTCTCCGACACCATCGATTTCTGAGTGTTTCGGCCATCATTGCGATATTAGCAGCCATCATGATCTCCATTGGGGTTCTAGTAATAAGCTTACTCAATATTTCTGCTAGAAGGCGGCTAGCATTTGTTGATAATGCCATCGAGAGTTGTTCAAGCTCTTCCCGCTCTGGACCCAGTTTATCGATGGGGAGGCTTGTTTGGTTCGATTCAAAAACCGACCCCAATTGGGTTGTGAGTCCGGAATCTTTTCTAAAAAAGGCAGCTGAGATCGGTGAAGGGGTTTTCGGGAGCGTCTACAAGGCTTCATTAGGAGAAGAAAATGGTAGTGATAATATTCTAGCGATCAAGAATCTTGTGGTCTCGAACATGATCCAGTATCCTGAAGATTTTGATCGAGAGGTTCGAGTTCTAGGAAGAGTTAGACACCCCAATCTAGTATCGCTAAAAGGGTATTACTGGACACCAAAATTGCAGCTTCTAGTGACGGATTACGTACCAAATGGTAGTTTACAGACCAAACTCCATGACAGACCACCTTCAAGTCCACCACTTTCATGGCCGAATCGATTCAAGATCCTGCTAGGAACCGCAAAAGGACTCGCTCATTTACACCATTTTTTTCGTCCACCGATCGTGCACTACAACATCAAACCCAACAACATTCTTCTAGACGACAATTTGAATGCCAAAATTTCAGACTTCGGGTTGACCAGGCTGGTGTCGAAGCTCGACAAGCACGTGATGAGCAACCGGTTCCAGAGCGCGTTAGGGTACGTTGCTCCGGAACTGGCGTGTCAGAGCTTACGGGTGAATGAGAAATGCGATGTTTACGGGTTCGGGGTCTTGATTCTGGAGATAGTGACGGGAAGACGACCAATTGAGTACGGAGAAGATAACGTGTTGATATTGAATGAACAAGTGAAGGTTATGCTGGAAGAAGGGAGTGTATTGCAGTGTGTTGATGAAAGTATGGGAGAATATCCAGAAGAAGAAGTTTTGCCTGTTTTAAAGCTGGCATTGGTATGCACTTCTCAGATACCTTCAAGCAGGCCATCAATGGCGGAAATTGTTCAGATATTGCAAGTCATCAAGACACCAATTCCTCAACCATTTTAGATTTTCTTTAATTATGTACGTTGGTAACATTTCTTTTCTTCTATAACTTAATTGATGATTTCAGCTCGATGATTACCACTCTTTTAGTTACTTCATCCCTTAATTATAAAGCATCGGATCCATGACAACAACATCTGTTCTCATAAAACGAGAAATATATTTTATATATATATATATATATATATATATAAAATATTCTGGAGGACTTAGTTTTATAGAACCAAACAATTATGTGAATTATATAAGGTTATTATAACAAGTTTGTTATTTTACTTCAGAAATGAAATGTGTTGTTAGCGTTTTTATCAGACGTTTAGACACATTTTAGATTTTATAAATTCGATTTTGTTACAAAGTGATCGTATGTCTAAAAACGACCCATAAATAGATAGAACGAAAGAGAGTCGTAGAATAAAAGCGAAAATAGAACCACAAAAGCAATCGAAATCGAACAATTTCTCCACAAAATTAGGCTCAATTTTCCTAATAACATTTTGGAAGGATGCTTCTTTGATCCCCTCATGCCACCCCCAAATTCAAACCCTAAATTTCAACCAAAAACAGAACAAACACCATTGTTCCCATGGGGGGTTGCATGTCCATTGCCAACAAAAAAGTACTCAAGAAAGTCAGGAACAACGTCAAGCCCATAACCTCACTAGACCAAGATCACGAAACCGCAAAACTACATGCGGACGCAAAATCCGGCCGACCGGTGAATGTGAACGTACTCTGGGAGTCCTCCGGAGCCGAGATCTACCGGCGGTATCGGTTCGGAAAGGAGCTTGGGAGAGGTGAGTTCGGGGTGACGTATGAATGTCAAGACAAGGAGAGTGGGGAGAAGGTGGCATGCAAGAAGATATCGAAGAGCAGGTTGCGGACGGAGATCGATGTTGAGGATGTAAGAAGGGAGGTTGATATTATGAGACATTTGCCATCGCACCCGAATATCGTGAGGTATAAAGACGTGTTTGAGGACAAAGAGGCGATTTATTTGGTGATGGAACTTTGTGAGGGTGGTGAGTTGTTTGATAGGATCGTTGCGAAAGGTCATTATACCGAACGAGCTGCTGCTCTCGTTACCAAAACCATCGTTGAAGTTGTCCAGGTTATCGCTCACATTTTCCTTGTTATTTCTTAGCCTTACGTAAACACGTATATGCAACATTTGAACGACGATCAACCGACATTATTAAAATAATAACCGTAAATATTTTGAGAATCTAAACACCAACAATTTCATTAATTATTCATAATGAATAACCTTAGAATATTCATGAATATCATGCATTTATTTATTTATCATGAATAGTCCATATTTGAATATGCCCCTATTGGTCAGTATACCCATACAACCCACCACAATACTTGCTAATGTTATCACCGGTAATCCCATACGGAATCCGCCTAGGGCATTTTTTTGGCTCATTAAGCGGCTTAAGCTAACGGGGTCCGAGACATGTCTTGTATTTGGGCAAAGTCATCCCGTCCTTTTGTCAACTGAGTTACATGAAAAATATTGTATTTGAGATTTGGTTTATGTATGTATGCGTAGGTATGCCATAAACATGGGGTAATACATCGGGATTTGAAGCCGGAAAACTTCCTATACGTGGGGCGAGATGAAAACGCTTCTTTAAAAGCGATTGATTTCGGTCTTTCTATCTTTTTCGAACCAGGTACGTCTTTAAAATAATAAATTCGATTGGTTTGTAATAGTAGACGAGTAAGCATTTATTTGTGGATGGTGGTAGAGCAACGTTTCAGGGAAATAGTGGGAAGCCCATATTACATGGCCCCGGAAGTTCTTAGACGGAATTATGGAGCAGAAGTTGATGTGTGGAGTGCTGGTGTCATTCTATATATATTATTGTGTGGAGTTCCTCCTTTTTGGGCAGGTAAAAACCATTTCTTTTTTCAATAAAAAAATGTTAATTATGAAAGTAGAGGGGTATATTTGCACAATTCCTTATACATGGAGGGGTTGGATCAGAAACTGAAGAAGGAATTGCACAGGCGATTATTAAGGGTGACGTGAATTACCGAAGAGACCCTTGGCCTCGTGTCTCCCAAGATGCCAAAAGTCTCGTGAAGGCCATGTTAGAACCCATTCCACAAAAACGCCCAACGGTCCAACAAGTCCTTGGTAAACTCATTTTTTTATAACTCCATTTTATTTAGCGATAATCATAAAAACAATCGAAATTGGAGTTGATTTATGAAAAAAAATACAATCTTAGGGTGTTTGAGATTGCTTATGAAAACAACTTATTGACTTATTTCGATATGACATCGGTAATAAGCACTTTTGAGTGTTTGGTAAACAACTTATACCGGTGTCAAACCGGTAATAGAAAGTATTTGAAAAAGTTAAACTCTTCTGACTTATAATATGTTGATAAGTGTTTTTTATAGAAAAACATAAGTTGTTTCAAACAAGCAATCCCAAACACCCCCTTATTTTTTCACAAAAAACAATACCGAATTTTTCATTACTTTTAATTTGAAAAAAAGTGAGTCATTTTGTACCGGATCAACTCAAATTTTGATCATTTTTGTTGCAATTAATACGGGTAGTTTTGTCATTTTAACCCTAATGCTCGTATGGCAATAGGAAGCCAATGGATACAACATGCCCATAATGCCCCTGATATTCCTTTGGGAGAACAAGTTCGAGCCAGAATCCAACAGTTCTCTCTAATGAACAAGTTCAAAAAGAAAGTCATCAGTGTAAGTTCTTTCACCATTTTGACCCTTGGTTTGACCCGACACTTGATATATTTGAGATTTTACTCGTGTCAATTAAATTAGTTGGTAGCGGAAAACTTACCCGACGAACAGATAAATGGATTAAAAAAGATGTTCCACGACATGGACAAAGACAAGAACGGTGCACTCACTTTCCAAGAGCTCAAAGACGGTCTAAGCTCGAACAAGGATCAACCCATCGACGATCCCGATATTAAAATGTTCATGGAAGCCGTAAGTACATACATCTATTAATTCATATACTCCTTTTGTTCCAAAATAAAGGTCCACAACTAAAAAAAACATACAGTTTTTAAAATATGTAATTATTATATTATTTAACTAACTTAATGACAATTTCACCTTTAATAATTAAGATTAAAATTGGAAACTAGGCAACTATTTTTGAAATTGGACATTTATTTTGAGACAAACTAAAATAATAATAATATGGATACTTATTTTAGGACAGATAGATTACGACTGATAGTGACGGTCTTGTGACTCACATTACGTATGTGGGTTGTTTGTCGAAAGGCCGATCTTGATCACAATGGGGTGCTGAACTGCGAGGAGTTTCTAACAATGGTGGTGCACTTGAAAAAGATTAGCAACGAAGATCAACTCCGACAAGCTTTCCACCATTTCGACAGAAATCGAAATGGCTACATCGAGTTTGACGAGTTGAAAGAATGTTTGTTCGACGGCCATCTGAATCCACATAACGAGAAAATGGTCCATGAAATCATAGTCGATGCCGACCTTGACAAGGTTTTACTTCAAAAAGTCAAAACAACAGACTTAATTTCGAAAAATCAGATCATACCTCAAGTTTAACCATTCCGTTGTGATGTAGGATGGTCGAATCAGTTACCCAGAATTCGCAGCGATGATGACGACGGGAATAGATTGGAAAATGGCTTCTCGACGGTACTCGAGAGCGATGCTTAATGCAATTAGCATGAAGATGTTCAAAGACCCGTAGGTAAAATCAAGAAACCCAATGGGCTATGTTTTCTAGTGGTATTTATTTGTGATGTGACGAAAAACAGCTTAAAACAAAGGCGAACCCTTTCTCCTCGAACAATTGTCGTATCCCAAACAACGATGCTATATTGACTTGCACGTTATGCAGTTAAAGTTGTACCTCGATGTAGAGAATGCAGAAGTCGTTAAAAAATCGTAACTCGCTGCATAAGTTTTTCGTTGTTTTATCCTTTCATGTCTCTATTTGTGTATCTCGAAAATAAGAAACCCACTGCACAAATGCTCAAACTCATAACCTTCCTGATTTTTCTATAAGCTACATTACAAGTTTAGCAACAAAATAACTTAAGCTGCATAAGATGCGAGAACATGAACCGATTTCCAGAACGATTGTAGAACGAGATTCTATTTCATAAAGAAATCTTTTATACAGAGCAAAGAATCTACATCTTTGACTAGGAGCGGGTTAACAAACCGAAAATTATATACACCCCCAGTAGTTTTCCGGCCTTCTTTCTTTACTTGCCTCCAAACAAAAAAAAAGGCTATCCAACAAATGCAAAATACTCGATTGGGCTTCCGATCTTCTCCGTCAAGACGATTGTAAAACGTTACAACAAAAAGAAGGTGGTTACCAAGCATTATGATCGACGGGTGTGGCAAATCTGGCATGCGGTTGCAGTCCTGAGGTTCATATAGGTGCACTGATCACACGACCAACCATTTGCATCATCTGAGTTTCGGCTCGATGCTCCACTTTTAGCTGATATCTTTCCTTTTGCGCCTTTTCCTTTGCTACTCTCAGCTGGGTTCTTTGAGCTTGTGGCCTTGCCGGATGCTCCATGTGCATGCACATCTGATAGCCCGTTTTCTAGTGCTCTCACCAAATTCTCGAAATAGTTGCGTGTCACACTGTAACATTTGGAAAGAGAAACGTCTGTTTTAGCAAATATCCAAATACGGGAAGAATGAAAGGAGAACTATAAATATTTTAAGAACCATGTGAACCAGTATATACATCGATGCATATACACTATACAAAATTTAGTGAGCATATACACCAATGCATATCTAGTACATATACATCGATGAATATACTAAATGACATATACAAATTTTTGATAGTGTATATGCATCAATGTGTATATATATATATATATATATATATATATATATCAATATATGTATATATATGCATATGCATATATTGGTTCTTAAAATATTTATGGTTCTCATTCGAACTTTCTCCTATCCAAATATGGGATGTATTTTGAAGAGGGAAACTTGAGACATTAACCTGGTCAAACCGGCCAACTTTGTTCGGAAATTATTAAATGCATCTTGAGAGGCATCTTCTGTAAGGTAAGTATGCAATTCCTTCTCTGCACATTGATGAAGTCTTTCTAAACCAGCCTCCGCTTCACCTGCCATGGATACACGTATCAATAAACAGCAATCGGATGCATTTTCTGAAGCAATGTAGAAATATAGATACCTTGTAAGTACTCGAAAAACTGTCTCTTGGCATGTTCTCGCTCAGGAAGGTAGTACCCATACGCATACGTCCACTTTAACACCCGCCTACATTCAACTATCTGCAGTAGAAGCAAATACAATTCAAAAAGCAAGATAACAATTTGTAAGTTTCAATCAACCAAACCAAACAAGCACCGTATATCTCACCCGGAGGTGGGTCTGGGGAGGGTAAGATAATGATCTAAAAGTTTCCAGAAGTAACATACCTGTAGCCAAGCTTCTATAATAAACTTCAGCTGTGTTTCAGGCTGGCACTGTTTCTCACTGAGTTTCGCTAGCTAGAAAAACAAAACGGAAATTGCAACATACCCTTTCTTACGCTTATAGACTAGATGAATAATAATAAATAACATGAACTCGTATTCATGGAAGATCGAAGGCACCTGCTTTTTTTTGTTATGCCTATACTAAACAGAAAATAAAACATCAGAATCTCAACTTACATGAACAGTTTGCATCTGATACAAATCCGCAAGCGCTTTTTGCCTCGACTGTCACGGAGAAAAGGAATTCCAAATATCAAGAATATAAATGGATGACAGTTAATTCGATTTTTCAAATGAATGACCAATTTGTGCTTACCGATTGGTTTGTTGCCCAACGTTCGTAGTAGTGAGTGTATCTCTCTAAAGAGTTCTTTGCCATCTCTCTTCGACGTTCAGCTTCATCGTACTGCAAATGGAAGGGGAATCATGAGACTTTTCAAGATAAAGAAATACTGATGATGGATTTTTGAGTAAAGGATAATTAGTTTCATTACTGCTCCCTCTTGCTTTGCAGTTTCATAACGGTTGCAGGCATAAAAGCCACCAGTTCTCTCTCCATGATCTGACCATTGGCCAAGGCACAGCCTACATGTACAATTTTGGAAGCATATTAGGATCAAGGAAAGTTGAAATGAGAACCATAAACCTCAGAACAAACTATTTCATGTATTGTTCATTATGAATAACCCTGAGTACTATTCCTCGTGAATATCATGAATATACGAGCATAGCCAACCAAATCTTACCAGCAAAATTCAAATTTGCAGGGGGGTGTACATGTCATGTGCATACAACCTTGATTCTTCTCAATTGGCCGCTTGCACCTTGGACAAGGCTTAGAATTCGCCAGAATCCTGCAAGTTGTCACATGAACATCAGCCAAAAGATACAAGTACGAAAGAACAGTATACACATAAAATGGATAATCAAATGTATGCATGTTCTACAGCTTCTTTACCAATTCATGTTTTCAGATTCCGCACTGTTTTTTAAAATCCACTTCGACACGGTTTCACAGTCTACGGGACGATGAGCTTCTTCCGTACACTGCAACATTAGCGGCAAACAAGCCATATCATATATGGAAAGTGTGAACGAAAAACAGATTTTGTTGCTACTCATAATGAAACACTTACATTCCAACAAAAGCCATACGAGCAATGGCAAGATACATCATAGCTTCCACTTCCGAGATCAAACTCCACAGCACAATCACACCCGGGAGCAGGACACCACTTTGTCTATTATTATACACAAAAAAGGGAAATCTTAAATTCAAGTTTTCAATACGTAACAAACAGAGAAAAAAGAGAAACTTCCGAAACAAAAGGAAGTTTCTATATTTATATTTACATTTATAATTTATTTATTGATATTCCATATAACGAATAATATTGTCATCTAACTCGGTCTAATACGATGTTGATCCCATATTTATGTTCTCTATGTAGTGGAACTAATCATGTTTATCAACTGGAAAGCCGAACGGTTAAGCAAATAACAAATCTACTATAAATGAGATTAGTCAATGAGGAGCACAAATGGAAACGCATACCTTTCTATTGTCTTCAATATAAGATCTAAGAAGGTAACGGTGATATTTCTTTTTATCTTCGTCAGAAGCCAAGTTATTGACCATGTTTACACCAACGGCAGCACCACATGAAGGAACAGGGCATCTCAGTGACAAGCATCCAGGACCGTCGTTAATAGACATGCTAATATAAGCTGCCATGATGGATGGGATCAAAGAGATAAATAAATCATCATTAGAGACTGTAAACTAACAAATATGAGAATTATCAGCATGAATCATCCACCAAAGGGTTGTTTTAAATGTTGTTCATGGATCATGTGATCTGAAAACAAGCATGGAAATCATATGAAGAAGCATTTGAATGTGAAATTGAACCAAAATAGCCAGGATTAAACGGGATGCACTCAATCATTTTCAGGAACAAGAAGCAAAAGAGATGCAAAGAAAAACAAACAAAATAATGAAATCGCGAGGCGAGACAAACCTGTCCAACAGGTGCTACAGAATGGATGACCACAGGCAACGTTTCTAATCATATCATGTGGATATGAATCAAAGCAGATCCCACAAACCAGCTTCAAATGATACATCAATGAGAGGTAAGTGATATAATGAATAACCAAGAATAAGCAACAAAGATAAAACACTTCAACATGAAATTCAATCATTTTCTTTCCGACATACTTCTCTAGATTTTGGAGATATAATATCCGTTTTAACCAACAGGCCAATGGCTTTACGAACTTTCTCTTCGTCAGCAAACCAAGCCTCATGAACATTGTTGACACTCCTGCAGGGTACGATAGATAATCAACAACGATAAACAAAACAGCAAACATTCGTACATAGGGAAGCATCAAGATGGCAACATTGAAAGCTAGAGGTTAGTAATATGATAATACAAAAATTCAAGATTTGCCCCAATCCACAACCCTTGAACAGAAATCACTCAAATTGAGCATCTTACCAGCTATAGCGGCGTAAAAGCATGCAAGCAGCATCTCTTGAAATAGAAAGAACTGAAGAAACTCTTGTGATATCATCCTCTTGACGTTGGTGTATATCTTCTTCTGTCAAAATGGTATAATTTTTCTAAAACATGAAACAAAGCATGTTAGTCCTGACATCAAAGCCCGTGATCACACAAATGCGATAAATGGAAGAAAAAAACAGATATTATACTGCAAAATATAGAATTTCAGCCACTTCGTACTGGCGTTTCTAAAACCCTGCCTAATCTTTTGAGCCAAATCCCATAACAATCAGCAAGCATATCATACACAGACAATGCTACAATTAAGAACATCACTAGAACTTGTGACCTATGGTGTATATCTGCAAAAACTAATGGAACGCCACTTTGATTTTACTAACATTACTAAATCAATTAGCAGCAAAAGATGGTTTATCTTCGGATCAATCAAGACGACAAGCAATCGCTATCAGCGAGACTTGGATCGTTTACCCACACAATTAGGATCGCACAAGTTTCAATTAGTTCAAACAAAATACCACATAACAGAATAACATGAAACCCACAAACCAATACCAAAATTACATCAAACCCAATAAATAAAAGCTTTCAAAGTAACAAATTTATCCCCCAAACTAAGTTCACCTGTTGACGATTAACGGTGAGGTTATCAGAATCATCAGAATCGTTGTCCATAAACTCATATCCAGCATCGTCATCGTCATCGCTGTACATCCCATCACTGTAGTAGTAATCTTCATCATAAGAATCAACGTCGTTCGCATCATGCATATCATCTTCCGAATCCATCAAAGCGTTGGAAATCTTTTGAAAAGGATGGGAAATTTTAGGGTTTTAGGTGATTGAAAATCTGGAAGAAATTGATTGATGAGTGCAATATTTGGGGAAAGTGAAAGGAAAATTATGAGTGTTCTTTGGTTGCGTGAGGTGGGTTATTATAAGATGATGTCTGTTTGTCTAGAAACACAAGGAGCAGGCAGAGGCTTTCCCATATGAAGAGGATTGTGTCAGGGGGGGTAAGGGTAAGATGGTTTCATTTGCGCATGGTGACCTGACCTCCACTCCAAACACAACCTTCCATGATTTATAGGAATTATTTGTAGAGGCCATTGCTATCTATAAAAACTGTTAATCAAATATCAAACTTAACTACATAATATATTATATTATATTCAAAATATATTTTATGATGTAATAGTATTATAACCTATATTTAGATTATATTATAAAATATTTGATAAAAATTATTAAAACCATTCTTTATGCATGAAATATTGTTTATTGATGCATTTTACTTAAAATTCAAGATTATAAGTAAATTATACATAAGTACAATTTATTAAAGTTTTATGTTTGAACTCGTGTAACTAACTATGGATAAAGATGATCAAATAGAAGATAAATATCTCATTTTAAAATATAAAAAATATAAAATATAATTATAATAATTATCGAGTTCTAACAAAATAATTAATTATTATCTTCATAAGAAAATTATATTATTAAACCAAATATAAATTATTTCGTTATTAAACTTGAATTAAATTATAATAAAAAATTGAATTAAAAAATTACACAAAAATTGAGAAATTTTAAATAGTTAATTTGATACTAATATCGATATATTTTTGTCAATTTTTTATGATATATTCAAATTTATATTTTATTCAAAAATAAAAAACCATCCTTTTTGCAAAATCACATAAGATCATGTTATAACATCGACTGAGATAAAAAAATAAAATAAAATATTAAAATCAAGATGTTTGTCGCTGCATTGCGCAAGAATCCTTCTAGTTAAAATATAACACATTCGAGTATTTTCGTCGGAATATAAAAGAATTTGATTTATCTATGTGTGACTTTGTTTTAAAATAATGCATATATTTTAAATGTTTTTGTTTGATAATGCATATATTTTAAAATAACGCATATATTTTAAATAGTATCTATACTATATTATAAAGTATTTGACAAAAATTCTTAAAAATCATAATTTTTGCATGAAGTACTGTTTATTGATTCATATTACTTAAAATTTAAGATTATAAATAAATTGTGCGTAAGTACAACTTATTAAAGCTCAATTTTTAAATTCGTATAACTAACTGCAAATAAACATAATCAAATATAGGATAAACATCTCATGTTAAATATAAAAAATCTAAAAGTTCTAACAGAACCATTATCTTTATAAAAATTATATTGTTAAGTCAAAAATAAATTACTTCGCTATTAGACCTAAATTAAATTATAATAAAAAATTAAATTAAAAAAATTGTACAAAAAAGAGAGCTTTTAAATAGTTGATTTAACATTAATATCGACGTATTTTTTCAAATTTTTATGATATATTTAAATTCATTTTTATTCATATGTAAAAGCATTGTCTTTCTCAAAGCCATATTAACTGTATTATATCAACAGAGACAATAAACAAAACGAAACATTAAAATGAAGATGTATTTCGCTGCATTACGCAAGTACCCTTTTATCTGTACTATATTATAAAACATTTGATAAAAATTCTTAAAAACCATTTTTTATGCATGAAATATTGTTTATTGATGCATATTACTTAAAATTTAAGATTACATATTATTTTGTGTAAGTACAACTTATTAAAGCTTCAATTAAATTCGTGTAACTAACTGCATGTAAACATAATCAAATATAGAATAAACATCTATTTTAAATATATAAAATCTAAAATACAATTAAAATAATCATTGAGTTTCCAACAGAATGTCTAATTATTAACTTTAATAAAAATTATATTATTAAACCTAAAATAAGTTACCTTGTTATTATACCTAAATCAAATTATAATACAAAATTGAATTAAAGAAGTTACACCAAAAAAACGAGAACTATTAAATAGTTAATTTGATACTAATATCGATTTTATTTTTTTAAAATTGTTTATGCTATCTTCAAATTTATATTTCATTCAAAAATAAAAACATTATCGCTTTCCTAAACAACTAAAATCATATTATATTGATAGAGACAAAAAAAATAAAAACTAAACATTAAAATGGAGATTTATTTTGCTGCATTGCGCGAGTACCCTTCTAGTCTATACTATATTATAAAACATTTGATAGAAACTCTTAAAAATCATCTTTTATGTATGAAGTACTGTTTATTGATGCATATTACTTAAAGTTCAAGATCACAAATAAATTGTGCGTAAGTACAACTTGTTAAAGTTTCATGTTTGAATTTATGTAACTAACTACAGGTACACATAGTCAAATACAAGATAAACATTTTATTTTAAATATAAAAAATCTAAAAATATAATTAGAATAATCATTGAATTTGAACAGAATCATTATCTTTATAATAAATATATTGTTAAGCAAAAAATAAATTATTTCACTATTAGACCTAAATTAAATTTATTTTTATTCAATAGTGTAAACATTATTTTTCTAAAAACCACATAAACCGTATTATATCAAAAGAGACAAAAAATAAAAAATATAACATTAAAATGAAGATATATCTCGCTACATTGCACGAGTACCCTTCTAGTTATATTATAAAGCATTTGACAAAAAAACTCTTAAACATCATTTTTTTATGCATGAAGTACTGTTTATTGATGCATATTATTTAAAATTAAATATCACAAGAAAATTTTGCGCAAGTATAACTTATTAAAGTTTCATATTTGAATTCGTATAACTAAATGCAGATAGACATAATCAAATAGAGGATAAATATCTCATTTAAAATATAAAATATAATTAAAATAATCGTTGACTTCTAACAAAATACTTGATTATTATCTTTATAAAAAATTATATTATTAAATCAAAATAAAAAATGGTTTAAAGAAATACACAGAAAGTCAGAAATTTTAAATAGTTAGTCTGGTACTAATATCAATATTTTTTTTTTCATTTTTTTATGATATCTTCATATTTCTATTTTATTCAAAAATAAAAAAGTTATCGTTTTCTCAAAACCACATAAAACTATATTATATATCAACTGAGACAAAAAAAAAACGAAACATTAAAATCGAAATATATGTCGTTGCATTGTGCGACCCTCCTAGTTATTTATAATATATTAGAATATCTTTAATAAACTATTTAAAATGAAGTAAAAATCAAAATCTATATACCTTCATCTCCAATAAATTCCTTATTTTAGATAGGGTTAAATGCATGAAATAGCAACATACTTTCATAAAAAAAATTATTATAGCATTCTACTTTTGTTTTTCTTTATTACAGCAATGTATTTTCAAATTATTTTTTATTAAGGCATCGTACTTTAAAAAATCTACCCATAATAGCAATGGGTAACTTGTTACTTTTTAAACGGGTTAACCCTTTGACTTTTTTTGCTTGTGTGGCTTTAATGAAGTGATGTGAATGACACATCATTTTAATAATTTAACTAAAATAAAAATAAAAACCTATTTCAAATTATTATTAATGATTTTCATTTTTCATTGCTATGAACTAAAAGAACATTTAATTTTTTTTTGACTTTTTCTTATTAAGTTGCATGCAAATTAAATATTCTCAGAGTAAAATATTTATTAAATAAATATGAAACATTATTTTTGAGATATATTTTGTTTGTAAAAAAAGTAACTTTTCTTATTTTATGTTATTCAAATAAATATATATATTTTAAAGTTCTCTTTAAAATGTTA